AAATATTTGGAGAGTTGAATGCAAGACATTCATTCGTTCCCTTTGGAGATTCACAAAACTTGAACAATGAAATTCAAGAGAATGGAATGCCCAAGAAAAACAACAAATCATGAAAATGACCTTACAGCAAAATAAAGAGTGTTCTGTCCCTTTACGTGCATTGTTCTCCAGTGTGTTTTGTCTTTAGTAAAAATTACCTGATTAAGTTAACCAGGATATATGAGAAGGATGCTGAGAGGTTATGTGAGACGTCAAGGAAAGACAGTAAGGGAATAGGTCTGGTCTCCTTCCCTAAAAATGTTCATTAATCCTTTCTTTTTCTTAACACTAGGAGGACAAATTAGAATTTATAAGGGGGAAAGAATTCAAGACGTAGCCCGTAGGAAACCTACAACTGCAGCTAACTGTGCATCTATTCTAAATTCATGGTCTATTCTTTGTTCTATTTTTCACTCCCCAAAGGCCAAGGCCTGTGAAAATATTCTTGCTTCATAGACAAATGAGTGTGCCAAGGGCCCTCTTTCCTGTTCTCTGTAGATAAGAAAGCTTTTTACATTAAATAAAACCCATGCTGCTGGCAAATTCCACACTTGGGTCATTTGCCTCAATTAGCTGAAGTATAAGGAAACCAAAGTTAATGTTTCCAGAGGCTCATCAGTTTTTAACTTACGCAGTCAGTGTTTTCAGAAAATTAAAACTAGTTTTAATAATTCTGGGGACAGTGATGACTTACATGTGATAGCCCTATTTGACAAGGTAAAGTTTTCCAGTTACATTAGCCTGATGCCATGTTCTTTTTTGGGGAGGGGGGCAGTACTGATGATTTAACTCAGGAGCACTTGACCACTGAGCCACATTCCCAGCCCTATTTTGTATTTTATTTAGAAACAGGGCCTCAGTGAGTTGTTTAGGGCCTCGCTAAATTGCTCAGGCTGGCTTTGAACTCACAGTCCTCCTGCCTCAGCCTCCCGTGACATTGGGATTACAGATGTGTGCCACCATGCCCACCTTGTCTTCACATTCTTAACACTCTGCTAGACAAAATAAAAACCTCATGCAAATGAAAGACCACTGAAGGCCTGGATCTTGGGTTGTTCAGTCATAGACAATGGTATAAATGAGACCAAAGAAAGATATGAAGCAACTGATTTCAGAATAGCTATGAATTCTTGAAGAACTGGTTAATTTTGAAATATTTATTTCTTTGCCTGAAAAATTTCCTATCACAAAAAAAAAAAAAAACTATTACAAAATGCTTATAACTTGGCTCATTTAATTCAATTTCCTAGTTAATTATTCTTTAAACCTTACATGTCAGCCACCTAGAAAACTCCTACGTAGTGTTAGAAATCATTTATGAAAAGACTCAGTTGTAAAAGCATTATGAAAATAATCTGTAGCTTTGTATTTCAAAGTTTCTGGTTTGAATTTGCTAAGTCCCTAGAAATAATACTCCCCGGCACACCACTCTTCAAGTGCAGAAAAGGTGACAGTCTTACTTTAAAAGAACTCTCTAGTTTATCATTACCAGATCCAGGGTATAAATTATTTCTATTCTCTGATTTATGATTTAATATTTTTTCTGAAATCCCCATTGTAATTGACAAACTAATTTTCTCTTTTGTTCTCCCATTTTTTAGCAATTCTCTGCTATCTTGACCTGCTCTATCATCACACTTCACTTCTCTGTGAACTTGAGTCAGTCAGATGTAGCTCTGACAATGTTGCCTTTAGACACTTATATGCAGACAGAGTCCTTTCAATTCTATCTACAGTAAAGGGCTTGTTGACACTCACTCAATATGGCATTTTTCCAGAACTGTGTCTGCTGACTAACCTTTACCAAATTACTAGATAAATGATATTTCTTTTACTAAATGCAGGCAATTTTTATATTTTGAATGAGAAGTCATCACCTCTGTAACCTTAATGCGGGTGGCCACCAGCAAGGGAACAAAGGAATGGCTGGAGGTCGATAATGTCTTGGTTTCTCATTTAGTGTCCTCGGTGCCTCAGGTAGATGAGTAGCCCACCTCTGCACAGAGTTACACTCAGTCCTTAAGACTTGCATCAGTAAGTCGTTTAATTTTTAAACAAGATTATGTTGGATTGGATGCCAGGTAGAATGTCCACAGTATGTCCTGGTCTTGAGTCCACTGCTATACTTCATGGCCTGTGAATGGGTTCCTTGGTCACTATAAATCAGCAGCAAGGACACACATGGCACTCAAGCAGATCCATCCCTTAATAGCTGGGAAAGTCTTGCATCAAGCCCATAACAGTGTCCACATAAATCAAAGCATATTGGGCCCTTTCTAATAACAGGAGACAGCCCATGGGTCTATCTGTCTTTACTAAAGAGGAACCAAATCACTTCATCTGATATTGTCTTTGGTGGCATCTAGCCATTACAGGTAGCACTGACAGCAGGCAAGAGAGTTCTAGCGAACAGCAACAATATCAGAGATCTCCATGGGCTGTCTCCAGCACATCACAGCTGCCTACTTAGTCTTTTGTCCTGCATGCTTAAATCTACAATGTAGCCAAGTGGCAGTTTCTTTTACTGGGGCTTCCTCCCACCATCTTACCTTTTCCAGTTGTACAACCTTGGCTCTGTGGATGGGTTCCATAGCAAGAAAGACAGCATAGTGGCACACATTTAACATTTTTCTGGACCCTTTCATACTAGTGACCAAAGTCCATTGGAGTCTTAAGTTCCTTAATCTGTTGCCATGAACCCCATCCAAAGTAGTCTGGAAGGGCATGGATGGTAAGCTCAGCAGGTAACAGGAAGTCTAGTGTCCCCAGGAGTTGTGCCTATTTTATTATTTGCAATGCCTGACTAAATGACTCAGTACTGTAGTCAATCTAGTCCCACACTGTACCCCTCCTACACAAATTATATTTAAGTGTCATAATAACTGGGGTGGTGGTTGATATATGAAAGCTCTCCTGTAACCCAGTAGCCCCACAAATTGTTGTATTTATTTTACTGTGTTCAGAAGTAGAAAAGCCTGAACTTTTATCTATCACAACCTGACATGTATAAACTTTACCCTACCCCACCAGATAAGACCCTATACTTTGCTGGGTTATAGTCCATCCTCTCCCCTGAAAATAAGTCAAAAGGATGAAATATTTAGGGAAAAAAATATGGCAAGAGAAGTAAGAATAACCCTGTTGAGTGACCCTCTTTATCAGTTGGAAGACTGTTAAGCTATCAAACCTTTACAAATAGATACATAAATTCAACAATTCCCATTCAAATTTCTAGCATCATTTTTGGTGCAAAATGTGACAAGCTGATTCTGAAATCCATATGGAAAAAAAGTATCTAGGATAGTGGAAATATCTTTGAAATAGAAAGAACAAAATGTTGGCAATCTAACTTCGCCTGATGATACAATACTGTACACATGCACATACACACACACACATACACACACACACACATATATATATATATATATATATATTGTACACCCAATTTTTAAAAAATATGTAAATGAATGGATAGTCTTCTTGGCATATATATATATATATATATATATATATATATATATACATACACATATACACTCATATAAGTGTTTATATATATATGTACAACTAATTGTTTAAATATGTAAATAATGGGTAGACTTCTCAAAAAATATGTTGCTGAAATAATTAAACGCCCACATGTGAAAAATAAAATTGAATCCGCACTTTGCAAAATATACAAAAACTAACTTAAGATGGGCCACAAAAATTCTGGAAACCACTTTCCTAAAGCAGTGGACCATAATTATTTGGCATTGTATATTATGGATTCTTCTCTATCACGGTTCCTCTGACAGAAGGAGACAGAGATAGAGAGACAGAGATAGAGAGGGAACAAAATAATCTATCCCTGGAATAAGTATAACTAGAGAAAGGAGGGTAGAGTAATTTCACCACTAGAAAATATGGTTCTCTTCATGTTCTAGAGTCTTCTGATCAACTAAATTAACATACCTGTCTCTCCTCTTTTCTTTTGATGATAGAGATAACTTGGAAAAAGTTTAGTGAAAGTTTCTTATCTTTAACGAAATCTCAGTGATTGACTCTGTCCAGAGAAGGTTTGTCCTTTTGTCAGTCTTCTCTTGAAGTCCCTATCTTCCTTCCTAAGCTGATCAACTTAATAGAACAAAAAGAAATAAATCGCATGTTCTCTGAAACTACTAGCTCTTTACTTGTTCTCCCTGGGGCCTCGGAGCTCTTACTTCTTTGAAACAAAAGTCATAAACTGTGCCCTCCCTTCATCTTGTCCCTAAGTATGCCACAACAAAGAGCTTGAAGACATGAGGTACCAGGAGAGTGGACATATCTCTCTCCCTGAGATAGTCCCCCTTCCCCACCAGCACCACTGAATAATGGGTGTCTGATATGAACCAGTCTCTTGAGGAGAGACTGGAGAGAAAGAAGGATTATGAAAAGCCAACCTACAATTTTAGGAAATAAAGGGGGAGTTATTAAATGAAGACAAAATTGTAACTCAGATATGCATTTTAGCTCTCCACTTGCCAGGTAGGCTAACTCTGCAAAACTCAAACAATGCAAAAACCTTTGTTGGGAAAGCAAAGAATGCTATTTCTCTTCATTTTTCTCTTCCCCTCCACCCATTTTCATTTGGGGACTCTATCCTTCATGCTGCTTCTGTGAGAGCAAACCTCTGGAAATGTATTGTTCCCCAACTTGACACATCTCCAATATAGCAAATCACTGTTCTCATCTTAGTCTAAGATTGCAGTTCATCTTTAACTAGAAAAATAAGGAAAAAGAAACATTAACAGAAGCACATTTTTAGAGCACATATTTTTTTTAATCCTACCTTACCTCAGCCTGACCACAGATGGGCTGGCTGGCACAGCACAAACAGGCACCGTGCCAGCCTCTTTTTTATTGGTCCCACACAAATCGCTTTACTCCATTTCACAGACATCTCTCTGTCTTAATTCTTTCTTTAGACACTTCTCACTTCAGTAGCAAGACTTGGTCTTGGACAATAGATCATTTCAGGAAGGGCAAATAACAGTGTCAGTTCCTTGGCACACTGAGACGTTTCTGATCCTAGAACATCCTCTTTCCATTTAAGGTAAGGAGAACTTTTCCCTCACTACACATAGGAAGCTGTATGCATATACATGGCTGGCTGGGAAAGCCAACTGAATTTATTTGTGCAAACTGTTTTTACCTAATGTAACAGAGCACAGAGATACTTGGAATCTATGTCGATTATGCAAATTGCTTATGAATGCCTCTGCAGAGTGTGTGGGCGAGCTATCTTATAAAAAGTTTGGCATTTTGTTTTAATAGTTTCTTCTTTCTTTTCGCTGCAGACTACTTACAGAAACTGGAAGCAGGGAGCCACACCCATCTCATTTTTTCATTGCACACACAAAACCCTTGATTCTTTTTTAAGCTGAAATTTTTCAAAACAAATGGAGTGAAAAGGCTGACTACAAGTAAAATTGAGCAAATTTTAGGTGAAAGTAACAAATATCAAACCCCCAGCTTATTCAGAGAGAAGATTCCCATAGAGTGCACCCTGTGAAGTCTGAACTGCCAAGTGCAGGCATTTGACTTTAATCTGTGAGAAACAGGTAACCATAACAGTTCTATAAATTGAACAAGGATATGATAACTTAGGAGATCGAATAAGATGAATCTGACAACAGTGAGCTCAAGGAGAAGAGGCACTGGGTTGGTGTTCCCATGTTTCACAACAGGGGCCCTCTGGTCTTCCTGATTAGTAGGATTTCTTTAGTAGTACGCCAGGGGCCACTTGCAAAAAGCCTATAATTATATCATGATATTGCCCTCCCTGCCCAACATCTAAGTTGTGCACACTCTGACAACACCCGTTCCCACAGTGAAGTAGCCTGAGAAAAATACACACACCCACATGCATATATATATTCACATTGTATTACACTCATTCTGAAGGTGAGCATTTTATAGCATATAAAATGTATATTAAGTTACATTTCAATGACAAATAGCATCCAGGTTGTCAAATGATTTAATACAAGATGTCCTCATTAATTCAGCTCTGTGAATCTGTGCCCATAGTGCGTCTAAACTCCGGATGTGTTTTTGGCAGCATTATTTATTTAATGCCACTTTCCCAGGTGTCGTTATTTCTCCTCCAAAATGGAGCTCCTCAAAAGTGCTTCAAAAATCCTTTACCGTTATCTCCTCTAGTCCATATTCTCATTTAATAACATTTATTTTTTTCTTAGCCATTTCCTTGAGATTTCCCCTCTTCAACTCTGCATATTGAAGAAAGATAACTTTTTCAGCGTGAGCTCTGTGTATACCTGGAAGGCTGAGTGCCTTAGGGGACTGCCTTTAAACACTGAATTAAATAGCAGCAAAACTCAGTCCCTTTCCCCAAATATCTTTCTCTTTAGCCAGCAAAATCTATTAAAATACTCACTGAAAGAGATCATTCCTAAGCATTGGAAACTGACTCAAGTCAATATACTTGTTTCTAACTCGTGAACCTCTGTGGAGACAATAAGAGACTCTGAATTATGTGGATCTCTGTGATATTTAGTTCCCCTCACAATCTTGCAATCAACATTACACTGAGATTCAGGCATACACCAAATTTTGCTTCATAAACAACATTTGTTAAAAAAAAAATAAAGTATGTTTATTTGCAAGCAGGCACAGAATCATTGAGTCCATCTCTTCTGTAAACTTGTAGTCCCTGCCTTCCTTTGAATGCTCTGACCACTCCCTCACCTGAAAAGTCCACTCAAAGTACACCTGACCTCCTTCCAGTGGTAGGAGTCTGTTATCTCCTCTTCTGAAATCAGTGGCAGCACCGCATTGTCTTGAGTGCCATCTCTAACATGAAGATGGATGGGTTGCACTGGACTTGTATGCCTTCTTTGCACAAAGGTAGCAAGGAATTCAATATTTTGTTGTCAATCCTTATACCTGGGACATCATTCAGTTTCACCAATTCGCATACATTTTTATCATTTACCAATCTAATTATCAAATACCTCATCTTAACAATAAAACTATTACTGCCATCCCCAGTCTAGGAGAATATGAGGTGTTGATCAAGATACCTTGTCGTAGCCACTCCTTGACTTTGGACCTGTTATGTGATATGACACTGGCTACCACTTTGCAGTATGGGCTCTCAAAGAGGAAAACTGCTCCTGGAGTAGAAGCTTCAGCTATTGAGCATATACATAATGTCTTTCTGCCACGTCAGAGTGCTTTAAAGTAAATTGTACAAATCATAAGCAGCTAACATACTTGAAAAATACTGGACTGGGTATAAATAGAACTGAAGACTATGGATGAATGTGTTCCAAATAATATGTCTGACCATATTGAATTTATTTATTCTAGTCATTAGTTTCCTTCCTCCCTACCTCCTCCCATTCTCCTTTTCTTCCTTCCTTCTTTCTTTCCTTTTATTCCTCACTCTCCTTTGGTCATTGACTAGGTAATCTTCAACACACCTTCCAGTTCTTATATTATATACCAGGTCACATTGCAAAATATGTGACTCCTTACAGCATGATATGTGGATATTATCATTGCCTTTTTGCAGATACAAATGAAGATGGAGGCTTACTACAGCCTCAAATAAGATAAACCTGGTAGATATTTTGTGGCCAAGAGCAAGAAAAATCTATTTATTTCTATGACATTCTATTGGAGGCTGATTATTAGATCTTATTAAAAACAAATTTTTTTCAGATGTTTCCTCACAATCTTCTCTCCCTGCTTTTTGATTTGACTGTGAACTTCAATTCAAATCCAGGACTCATCATGCATGTATTTTAATGACTAGCATTGTATTTCTGGGTCAAGCTTTCCTGCTTGATTCTTCCCTGAGTCTTCTCAGCCTCTGAGAAATGTAGACTTCAGGTGAATTTGTCTTACAAATTGGTCAGACAAAGCCAGTATCCATGGATCCACCTATCATTCACTCCCAGAAAAGAATAAGTCAATAACTGATGTAAGCTACATCAAAAAATGCTTGTTAAAAAGTGAAGACATTGATACTCATGGAATCTAATCAGTCTTTAACCATTCCCAGAGACTTCAGAACTCAAAGATTTAATTGGTCCTCTTCTGGTAAAATAGCAACTATAAAAATGGATTTGGACAAAAGATAGATAGATGTCTCACCCCTTTATGCTAAAACTGTCTTCAGCAAACTTCTTGTGAGGACAGTTTTCTACTTACCAAGAACTCTTTATCCTTGATTATGACATTTCTCGTTCCTTTTGTCCTTCATGCTTTGGGAGATAAAGGCCTTGTTTAAAGAAGGTAGGAGCTGCAAAGTGTCTGCACATTAAACTGAAGATTGTAAATATATTTCCCAGTCCAAAGTTTAATTACAATTCCTTTATCTTTCCTTATCATCTGTTTTCTAAAGAGATAAAGAAGCTACATCATGTACAGCCATAGAAAGGTAGAGTTGTGCTGCAATTGTGTACAATGAATCAAAATGCATTCTGCTGTCATCATACCTAATTAAAATAAGTTAATTAATTTTTTAAAAAAGAGACAGGTAACGAAGAACCCTCAAATCTTTTCTTCAGAGATTACTTTTCGCTGCCTCGCTGCCTTCTCCAGGGTTGAAAGTCAGCAATCCCATCAGTCTTTGTTTGTCTTTTCTACCAAAATTAAATGATCCTTCTTTATTCAGGACTAGAGTGAATTTTGTTTATACAATTAGAATGAGCTAAACATTTGAGGAACCAAGTGACAGAAACTGAAGAAAGTTTTACAACTTGTACTGTGTCTCATGCAATGTCCAGAACATATTGAGCTGTTTTCCACCCTATGCTTAATGCTGTCTGAACATCAGCCACCTCATCTCTCTGAGCAGACCCAGCTTTCCAGCATTGCTTGTTTTTTTCATTAGGGGTAAACCACCATACTGCACAAGACCATTTCACCAAACAGCTAGCATGTTCTGACCTGTTCTATACCTCCGTGGGGACAAAGAGTCAATGAAAAAAGGAAAAATTCATATTCTTCCCTTACTGTTATATTTCTACCTGTGGCCATATCCCCATACCCTTCTTTTCTCTTTTATTTGGTCACTACAATGATAAATTTCCACTCAATTAGTTTATTTCAAAACTAAATTTCTAAAAGAAGGTATTTTAAGCAAGAGATGCTTCTGTGTTATTTATTCTCCCACAGAGCATTGCAGACAATCCGGGGAAATAAAGAGCTGCTCAAATGGCCATCAACGATTGATCTCTCCATTGTAGTCAAGAATCCATGAAGGTCTGCTCAAGTGGAGCCTTCCCCAGGGAACTCTCAACACAGTGATGTCAGTGTCTCTCTTTAATTGAATTCATGTCACTTTCTATCTGAAATTTGATCTTCTCTTCCTATCATCACATATTCATATTATTTTCCTTGGATCTTTGTGGCTTTATGCTTTTCACATATGTCTATGTTCTCAATGATATTATACTTTCTAGTATTGCTTTAGAATAACAGAGTGGAGCAGAATGCTTTTCAGTGTCACCAGGTCACCAAGTGTTTCTCCCCATAATGTGCACACATGTAGAATATGTACAATGGGGCTTGTTGAGTTCCCACTGGTGGGAACTGTAGTAGGGGGTCTATGTCATCATTCCTCCAGGACTGTAGGCAAGCACCAGCAGTTACTTTCAGGCCTCTTATTAAAAGAAACATTGAAATTTATAATGAAATTTCTGAGATGATGGATAGAGCTAAAGCATAATAGAGTAGTACTAGTTGGTGGCATATCTTTGAGCTGATTCCCTCCTTGTAGATAGCACTATCATTTCAGCTCCGACACCTGCAGGAGAAGATCCCATTTCTAGCATTCTCAGTGGTCCCTGTTCCCTCACTGGGGACCTATCTTTGGTGTTGTGTGAATATGCCCACTGAAAAGAGAAAACTTGGTGTAAAGCCCAAGCATGGCATGCACCTTACAATGACTGAAGTCAAGAAACAGCACAAACCACCACTGACCAATTTTTTTTTCTGGCTTGATACTAGTTATAAAGTAAGTTGCAGATTACTTGTTACTTCATATCTGGAAAGATATATGTCTGTTTCTGGAATTACTCACTCTAGTAACAAGAATGTAAATGTTTGATAAAACTTCTGTTGATGAAAACTATATTTTTATCAACCAGATAAGAAGCTAAAGGGGTTTCTTACATGTTAATTTTTCACTCAAATATAGTTCCAGGAGTCTGAAAAACAAACAGTATATATATGTGTATATATGTATGTATATGTGTGTGTGTGTCACACAGTAGGATCTATAAATATTCACCTTGACAATTGGATCCAAAAGCCCAACAGAATCTTCTATCATAACTTCATTGACTCCCCACACTGATGCCTGATGGGTTCTAGAGGCAAGAAGGCCCTGCATCTCTGTTGTCCACACAATGTTCCATTTGAATCTATTTTCTAGCAGAGTCCAAACTCAAATTTGAAATACATTGCTCCATTTTTAAGTAATGTATAATTCTTCATAAATATCACAGAGCACACATCATACTAAATGAGGTCTTTAACCCTCTTGGATTGGTGGGTGTGGTAAGTAGCCTCTGCAAAAATATGCACAATTCATACTTATCTCCATCCGGGTCAATATACTTTACATATTTCAAAGTTATTTAACAGAAAATGTTCCTATTTAGGGGCAGTTTCACATTAGCTTCTCAGATGGTAATTTGGGATATGAAGAAGTTATATCTTATTTAATGTCCTGCCAATAACAATAATTTCAATCAGGATGTACGCTAGAATCTTTTCAATTTTCAGCTATGATCTTCTGCACTGATTGTTAAGTATAGCCTGCTTCACCAATTGCTAACTGTACCTACAATTACCAAGTTTAGAAAATAAAAATGCAGGACATCCGACTAAATTTGAATTTCAGATAAGCATGCAATATTAAGACATATTAAACTAAAAAAATGATATTTATCTGAAATCCAAATAAACTGGATGCATTTTATCTGAAAACATTATTTCTATCATCTCTCTGAGTAAATCCCATTTTCCTCATTTCTATAATGTTGCCTCCTGTAAAATTCTGAACCCATTAAAGGTATGAAAGATTCAGCAAGTGATTTGTACTTTATAAAGTATTAGTCACGTGATATGATTGTCATTATAGCTTAGTTCTCCCATCTGATGATCCAGTCTTTTTTCTATATGGTTCATGTTTAATCTACTTCAAAATGCATTATTTAAGTATTTTAATATTAAGGTATACTTTTTGAAAGAGCCAATGTAGGATTCTATGCTGTTGTTTTTTACTGTCATTTTAAGGTTGTTTTGGTATCTATGTCCATGAGAACTATTTCTTCTTAATTTCTCCCAGCATTGATGAATTGTCTGCATCTGTTGTGCAAACAATCATGGTAAAACAGTAGGTTCCTACTTGACTTTACTCTCTGAAATATTCTAAGCATATGGTGAAGTGGCAAGAGTATGGGCTCAAGGTGGGAATTCTGTGAAATGGAGAAGAAGCCTCCATTCTAACATTACCCAGTTGGATCTCTGGAGACTTCATTATTAGATTAATCTTAGAATAAGTGACGAACCAACTGGCTTTCTTCCTATGCCACCAACACATAAGATGATAGAACTTGGAAATATTAAATTTTACATATCTAGAAAAGATGTTTTATTAAGAAGAAAAATTTAAAACTGTTTTTAAATCACAGCTTACCTTTTGAAAGAACTTTATGGCAAGAGAAATAATAGGAAAGATCTCTGAAATAGTAGACTTTAAGATATTAAAGCAAAGTTCCAGAGTCAGGACATTTTCCAGATTTCCAAACTGAACAAGACAAAAAGCCTTAACACAAACAATTAATGTCTAGAGGGAAATGAGAATTCAAAGCAATTGGATTATTGCCATGAGGATCCTTTGCATTTTAATAAGCCCTTAGCAGATAGAGCCTTCTTCATAAAATAACACAAAAATGTCTGTTTCAAAAGGAAAAAGGTTGAGTATCTTGGCCAGAGACACAAATAATGACACTATTGAGTCTACATTTCCCAGGATACACAGATAATCAGCAATTTCCATGATCAGCTATATCAATCCAATTAAAGGTAAATTGAGATGAGAGAAACTCAGGAGACCATTTCATCTGTGGTGTAATCTGGCCTCCATAAGAGCTAGAACCAGATACTGGAACACTCCAGTGCTCTCAAATTTTTTCACCACTAATCCTTCCTGCATGTCAGCTTCATTCTTTCTGATTATAGACTTATAGCATTTCACTAGACTATGGGGGAAAAAACTGCTAAGAACACCAGAGTTCTATTCAAGGAAAGAATGACTATTATAACAACAGTTTGAAAAGTCTTTCCTAAATACTCTGATTCATATCTTTTCTAATCAACCATGACTAGCAGATTATTCTAATAGACAATTGTCCTTGGGATAGGATAGGATTATGATTATGTAACCACCAGTTAACCCCTATCCAAAGATTAATGCACTGATTATTTTAAGGCTTTCATAGCCCAATGCTTTCACATTTAAGATTCCTTTCATTGTCACAACACATGAGCTTTTGGGAGGACACCTCATATTTAAACCATAACAAGAAATTACAAAGGTGGAGCAAGGGAAGGTATTTCTGCTCACAGAACAAAGGAACAATATGTAAGAAAGCCTCAAGGCAGAGCAGTGTTTAACACTTTTACAAAATGACAATAAGAAGGTCAGTTTTGATACTGATGAAAAATATATTACCTTGATTTACAAAGGCGTCAACCCAATCATGCCCAAAGGAAGCCAAGATGAAAATTTTGTGTATTTTTCATCAAGTGTAAAAAGCTTTGATTTAAAAATGTGATAGAATCCAGTGAATGTTTTCACAACATACCTTACAGATCAGAGTTCAGAAGAAATGGAGGACTAAGAGTAGAAGAAAGAAAAAATTGTAGTTGGGGGCAAGGTGAAAGAGGAAGATAGAAATTTTTATAACTCCGTTTGCTATTTTGCCATATCAAGTTTTTTTTTTCTTCCTAGGACATTGAATATCACCACATGGAACATCTATATTCAGCTAAGCTTGTGGAGTACGACATTTCCTAATATGTGCCCACCTGTTCCAAGATCAAGAAAACAAATTTAAGTGTATTATTGAGACACTCAATTAATCTGTTATATGAGAAAAAGAAAACTAGTGAGTTTGATATCTTTGTGTAATAAATTTTCCATGAAAATAATTGTATAATAGTCATAAAAAGCCAGAAATTCCAGTAAGAGTTTATTTATCCCATTGCCCAGTTTTTAGCAAAACTTACCAAATTGCTCAATAATTGAGAAGGTTGTCCATTTTAAAAGAATCAGAGATGTTGGGTCAATGATATGAATTAAATGAACTAATGCTAGAGATACTTGTCTTCTTTTTTCTCCTTTATTAATGCTTTTAGACATATAGTTGGCTTGAAACACACTTAGGACATACTCACAAGAGGGGCATAAAAGGACTAAACATACTTCTATGGTATGCAGTGAACACACACCTGATCTGGTGCTGAGCCCATACATTCCCTTTAAACTACAGAAGAAAGGGAAAATCCATCAAAAACTACAGTTATCCTTTCTATAACTGACCAATTTGACACAACCTTTCTTTTTTAATTTATTGACTTAACAGTTAATTTCGATCTTGCAAAAGGTATTAATTTAATCATACAAATTAGTATACAATGAAAGAAATTTATTTATAGGACACTTTTTTTGTACAAAACACAAAATGTTGTAAGTTAATAAAATTAACTTAAAATATGAACAGAATACAGTAGTTTCACTTATGTATAGTGAAGAGCAATTAAAAAATATTAAATGGAAAATTCCAAAAATAAACAATTCATAAGCTTTGAAAATTGTGTGCTATCCTGAATTGCATGATAAAATATCACTATTTTATTCCATCCTACCAAAGATATAAATTATTACCTTGCCCATATATCCACACTTTGTAAGATATTTGAAAGAAAGAGACAGAAAAATCACTGTCCACAGTCTTTATTACAGTATGTTGGTATAATTATTTATTTTATTACTGTTGTTGTTATTCTCTTACTGCATTTAATTTATAAATTAAGACTTTGTCTTAGCTACATATGTTTAAAGAAAACATAGTATATTGAGGGTTAGTTCTATTCCTGATTTCAGGCATCCACTGAGAGTTTTGAACTCCCATATGCCCTGGTTAGGATAAACTAAGATGTTCTGCTTGAACAAGAGACATAGCAACAATTTAGGGCCTTGAGAAATAAAGAATTCTGTTTCTCACTTGTGTAATAAATAGTCCAGTGTAGGTACTCTTGGAATGTAACATCTCCTCACACTCCACAATTCAGAAACACGGGGAAAGTAGCATTGTTGTCTGCTGAAAATGGCTTCATGGGTGGCCATGCTCTAGTTATCTCAAGGAAGAAAGAAAAGAGTATTGGAGAACATCCAAATTTGGGAGGACCAGGTGTGAATTTACTTATGTGGCAATGTTTAGTTGCAAAAAGGGCCGACATGGGCTAGGATTGTGTCTCAGCAGTAGAGTGCTCGCCTAGCACTTGTGAGGCCCTGGGTTCAATCCTTAGCAACACATAAAAATAAATAAACAAAGTAAAGGTATATAAAAAAAAAAGGGCTGACATATGTGGACCCAATATAACAGCTGAATCTCAGTCCAAATCTATAATTTTGAAGGGAGAACATGGATTTTAGTGGGTATTCATCTACATTATGTGTTTTGAAGCATATTTTTTAGAAAACTTAGATTCAATACCTACAGATAGCTAAAAATTTAAGACCAGCCCTCAGTCTTGATGTAAATCTGAGGAATCTCTTCCAACTAGGCTAACAGATGAGAGCCACAAGGAGGTTATTCTTTGTGAGAGTTGATGTCAACTGCAGCTCTGACCCTGAGGGGCTGTGTGTTCAACTCACAGGGTTGTGATGTAAATTTAATGATGTTTTAATAAAGTAAAACAAATACCTCCGGTGACACAAAGTTAAAGCTCAACAGCTAAGATTTCATGCCACTCTTCTTTGTATCTCCTTCCCAGGGGGACTGCCTTATGTTGGAACCAGGTTTAGACAGCTTCAGGCAACATAGGGTTGCCCCTTCCCAGTCTACAACAGAATTTAAGGGCAAGATAGGCTTATAGATCAGGTAGGACTTAAGAGTTTTACTCAGTATTTGGCTTTATCCAAAAATGCCTGTGTTCTTTTTGCCCTGTGATTCCAAGAGAGCGACACACACCAATAAAAAGATTGCTGTATTTTAGTCAGATGCCTAAAAGACTCAATATGGGAGCTTATGGAATTATAACTTGGGCTTCCCAACATTGTGGGGAAAATTCAGGTTTTCCCTGGTACAGTGCTCAAGGGCGAAAGATGGAATTCAGAGAAAAATAGACTTGGGTCCAAATCCCTTTTTCCATAAATCTTAAGTCTTTATTCTTAAAGGCTTTAAACTCATTATCCACTATCCATGTGCATTATTAAAAGTACTCTGCCATGTTTAAGGTTTACTGATTTAAATATCCATCAAGCCTAAAAATCATGCCATTCAACATCTAGAGTGGTCCTTGACCAAACAACTGGCACCGTGACACAGTAGCCTCATCAAGTTGTCACATTACATTTACTAGAACAACCAGGAATGACCTTCAAACACACAGGAACCTAAAACTGAGTGTTAGTAGTACTGAACATGGACCCATCAGATTAGGCAGATATCTTTTTTGTGAAAAAGAAGGAGATGTTCAAGAAAGTCATGCCTCACTCTCCCACCCAGGAAGAAGCAGCATTTATCCTTTGTTTTTGTTTGTTTGTTTTTTGTTTTTTTGTTATTTTGGTCAGAAGTAGGTAACAGGGTTACAAGATAAAACTCTTTGAGAAAAGATGATAAAATCAAACAACAATGACCCTTCCATAGGCATTGCAGTAATGTATGAAAATGCTCTAAATAATTTTTAGAATAAATGCATTCTAAATAAATAGTATCTGTGTCTTTTTACTAGAAGGAGAGTTAATATTTAATATTAAAATTACTCTTGTCAGAAGAAGGCAAGAATAAACTAGGTTACCAGTTCTGGATCATGCTAAAATGTGAACAATGTGATAAATCTTTTGTAAATTGTATTTTTATAAGTTTGCTCTAAACAGACTTGCTGAATATTTTCTGATAAATTGTACAGGAAATTGGCATCCCTTAAATCTTCTGAGGAGCTAAATAGTAATGGAATATATTAGAAAGAAGCATGACAACAATTTATGCCAAGCATCAAAGACACAAAATAAATTTGTTTTAAATGAGGAAAGTTCATAAAATAATTAAGTGATTTTTCTGACTAGAAATAATAATTCTAGCATCATACTATAGAATCAGCATGTTCCTTTGCTCATGGGGTTGAAATTTTATAGAAAAGCAAAACTACAAAGGGAACTGACAACCTGTGATATGTTGTAGAGGAAAAGTTAAATGTCTGCACAGAACTGTTAAAAATGAAAAATTATTCACCCTTTAATATATTTAATCAATGGATATTTTTGAAAACCAGGAATACTCAGAGCTTCAACACACAGGAAAAAGTCTTAGCCCTAAAAACAATTGCACACAACTTCAGATTGTGAAAATATTATATAATAATTAATCTTTGTGAACTAATTTTGCTCTGCTATGATGCAATGATTTCAATAAAGCATCTCATGACCGTGCTTCAGAGAAAAGTGGGTGTGAAGCTAAACTTAGTGTTTTGGATGCACTATATTGAAAGGGTTTTTTTCCTCCTAGAAAAAAAATAAGTAATAGTCAGCATTGTGAGAGCAATAAGAATATATTTCTAAAACCCAAACACAGCTGGAGAAATACAGCATTGATTATATCTCTCGTTGCTCAAGAGTAATGTCTTCTTTTTCTATTGTCACTAGCATGGTGCCTAGCCCATCTATTACACATAATATATTTCCTTAACCATGTTATCGCTATCACAGAGATAACACAACAACGGTGCATGGGCTTTGCACAATGTTAGTTCCCACTTGCCGTTCCATTACAAGCAATCGCAATTTGTGCAAAAAATAAAAATAAAAATTTATTCCCAATTTCAAATTGTACAATAATGGATTGCATACTCACACATATGAGGTTTCTTTTCTATGCCAGTATTACCCATGTTTTAAACAGCATTTCCTCCAGTTTAAAGGATACCACCACTCCATTCTCATTGAACCACCCACGACAGCCTCATGTGCAAATACACACAAAAATCTTTTGTTTTTCTATAATCAAACTTAACTTTTACTTTTATCTTGATTATTTTCTTTGTCTCATTTCTTTGACATTTTACCCTCTGCTTTGTCAGAATTTACCCCTTAAACTCTACCTATTGCCTAGTCAACAATCTAAAGGCTCACTCAACTTTCCACTTTCCACTGGGTCTCCAGGAATCCATCAACGGTAGTTTGGGTTTTCCCATCTCTGAACTGATTCATGCAGAGGTTTCTGCTCCTGGGATGCTGATCCCAGTAGGTTGTGATTCTCTGTACCCAGCTTGTCTGTCTCTCCAGTTGTGGGAGTAGACATATGCCCTGTTCCCCCACTTCCCTTAGTGAGGTAAGAACACATGATTTTCAGTTTGTTCAGCTTTTGATGAGTTCTTAGGAAAGGCAGTGACCTAGAAGCTGCTTACAATCTAGACCAGAACCTGGAAGTTATACTTCATGTTTTTACGAGTTAAAAATAGTTTTAGGAGCTGGGGTATGCTAAATCATACTTCCTGATATGTTATAGTAGTTTTGTGTAGATTTACTCATGTTTCTTCTGCGTAATCTGTGAATTTGGGGAGGTTTACAAGATTAATACTTACAATGGAATATTCTTCTGTTAGCATCCTGAATTTGTTCTCTTATTTTTCTATTCCCTACTATTCTCCTTTTGCTTTTTTCCTTGCTCCCTAGTTGAAAAAAGGTGCATTCTCTCATTTTTGTTTTTTTCTTCCCCAGAAGCTCCTGAAGGCAGTCCTGTCAAACGATGCATTCTTTCAGATTCTCTCCTGCCATCCATGCTATGATTTCTCAAGACAGGATATTATTGTTTTCAACTTGGAGTGGAATTGCTCTTCATGGTTCTTATCTTTGGCCCAGCTTTTTCTCAGGCTGTTCTTGCTTAACCTGGACATCTTGTGAAATGGTTAGAACATAAAACAGTATATCCTGGGGTTTGACTTTTTTTTCTTTTTTACTATGTTTCTTAATTTTTTCAGCTACCACTATTTTGAAATCAAGCCATTCTTGATCTTCCTATATTCTAAGTTCATTGTGTAACTGTTTCTTTCTTATTTTTCTGTACTATTCTGTAGAAAACATTAAAGGCACA